CCAAGTCTCGACGTGAGATCTCAAAAGTGACTTACAATCATGTTCTCAAGGATATTTGGAGAATAACAGTAAATGTTAGCAATCCCTAATATCCACTGAATGAAAAAAAAGGTTAATGGCAATGGCTTTTATTTTCCTAACTGGGAAATTAGGGATGTCAGACAAGCAGAATGACAAATTATACCCTGGAAAGGCTGACAGCTGGTGAGTTAGTCAAGTACTTGTGGAATCTAATGAGTTTTTTTTGGATGATCTCACCAAAGGGAGCATCTAGATGAGAACTAGGAATGGTCCCAGCATAGATCCTTGAACTCTCCAGAGGTAATGGAGCAGGAAGAAAAGCCATTGCAGATAATTTTATGGCTGTGACAATAGTAAGAGATATCAGAAATTAGTATGGTTAATAATTTCAAACATTGAGAAGGGTGAAAAATAGTGCACCAACAACAAGTCTACCAATGGTTTTTAAACTATTGATATGCAATAAATTAATTTTATAACAGTGCAATTGTATATTAACTGAATGCATGTCCCTTAGATTGGTAGATTGGCAGATTTGCATTTTAAAACTGGTTCATGGGACATGGGCACTACTGAAAAGGTCAGCACAAGACCGTCACTAATTTCGCATTCTTAATTTCCCCAGTGGAAGTGATGGTGAGCTATCTTTTTGAACTGCTGCAGTCCACGCAAGGTGGGGGATCCACATTTTGATGTTGTAAGAACAGATTTCGAAATGAGGTTAATATGTAACTTGGAGGGGAACTTGCAGGTGGTAACACTCCCATACACTTAGGACCTCAGCCACCTGAAAGAAACTGTCAAAGGAGCCTGGAGTTGCCGGAGAACATTTTGTGTGTGTGTGTGTACGTACATACATATATATACTGCAGTTTGGTAATTTCGTGTGATTACGATCTTGTGAAGTTCCTTGGTACATTTTGCTCCACTGAAGATGCTCTGTAAATATTTTCTGAAGAAGGGTCCCGAACCAAAACGTCAACTTTCCTGCTACTCTGATGCTGCCTGGCCTGCTGTGTTCCTCCAGCTCCACACTTTGTTATCTATGTGAATACAATATGTTTATGGTAATGACAGCTTATACCAATAGATGGTACATCACATTATTGGGTATGTAAGTAGATATGTTTTAATTAACCTGTTCAGAGATTTATTACACACCTGTGGAGCAGGTGGGACTTGAACCTGGGTCTCCTGGGTCAGAGGTAGGTGGGGCAGATGGAATGGAAAATCAATAGAAAATGATGCAGTTACTTGAAATGTAAAATGAAACAATAGAAATGCTGTTTTCAGGCAGGAGATCAGTCAGCACCCAAGCAAGAAAGTAGATCAACGCTCGCTGCCTCCAAAGAATTGAATAGTTAAAAATTGAAGTATTGTAATAAGTTGTGAAAATGGAGGGGGAATAAAAGGAGGAGGAAGTGGAAGCATAATCATTTGAATCCAGAGACTCTAATAAAGGGAAATGTTTAGCTTGGGTGTGTATGCTTCTGAATATATGTACCCAAGTAGATCATACAATGAAACTCATGGGCAACCGATACAATTTAAATTCCTTGAATTATTTTGCATCCAATTCCATTTGTTGATATTACAAGATCTGGATGTTTCCTTCTAGGGTTCATTTACTAATGAGCAGCTTTTCTCAAACTTATTAAGCAAAATTTTTAGTAAGACAATAAGAAATAAAGATTAAGTACATTTTGCATCCAACTGAAATTGAGTGACCTGCTCTTCAGGGGCTGGATTGCACTGTCTCGGGGTTTTTTTCATTCATGCACAAGATGAGGGCATTGCCTAGATGGGCAATTATTGCCCAACCCTAATTGCCCAGAGGGCAGTTCAGAGTCAACGACTTTGCTGTGGATCTAGAGTCACATGTAGGCCAGACCAGGTAAAATGCAGTTTCCTTCCCTAAAGGACGTTAGTGAACCAGATGGGTTTGTCCAACAATTGACAAATTCACAGTCATTACTCTTAATTCCAGACTCCTCTTCAATTGATTTCAAATTACACTGTCTGCCGTGGTTGGATTTGAACCCTGGTTCCCAGAACATTAGCTGGGTATCTGGGTAAACAGTGCAGTGATATTACCATTAGGGCATCACCTCCCACCAGAGTTGGGGGTTGGCTGGGTGGGGGGCTGTCAATTGTAGGTTTCAATTTGGATGTCCCTGATCTAGCTCATCTCTCTTGAATAATGCTGCATTGCCCAAACTATTCCAGTTTCTTAGATGGAAGAAAGTTCTAAAATGCAGGGTAAATAAAATCTTTTAAAATATCAACAAAATTAGGCTAAATCTTGCCTAAACAATACTGGTGTGTTTAAGACATATGTTGTCGTTAATGTGCAAGTCTGCCAGTGGCCCCAGTTGATTGGACTGTAAGAGATATGACATAAGTTTTGAATTTGCTGGTCAGTTTATGTTGCTTCATCATTTTTCTCCAAAATAATCTTTATTCATAATTAATGCTATGCATTACATGACCCTTCAAAGTTGCTATTGCATTAAATGCAAAACAAACTATCTCGTGGAAACATAGAAAATAAGAGCAGGAATAGGCCATTTGGCTCATCAAGCCCTCTCTGCCATTCAACATGATCATGGATACTGCTCTGTCTTAATGCTAAACCTCTGTTCTCTCCCCATACCCTTTGACACCTTCAGCTTCTAGAAATCTAATACTTTCTTAAATATATTCAGTGACCACTTCCACAATCTGCTGTGACAGAGAATTGCATAGGTTCCCACTAAATGCAAATTTTATATTTTAATACCGCTTTCTTCTTGCCTTTCCATCCTGACACTTTTAATCCAACATGTTTCATATGCTTTTTCTCTTTCTGAACTAAATTTAACTTTTGTTCATCCTTCTTCCTTCTCTATTATCAACTCACATGTCCAAGTAACATCAGTAGTGGGGAAAATTCTCAAATCCATTATCAAGGACTTTATAGCGGAGCATTTATAAAGCAGTGGTAGGATCAGACAGGGTCAGCGTGGATTTATGAAGAGGAAATCATGCTTGACAAATCTGTTGGAATTCTATGAAGATGGGCGGCACGGTGGCTCAGTGGTTAGTACTGCTGCCTCACGGCGCCAGGAACCTGGGTTCGATTCCATCCTTGGATGACTGTCTGTGTGGAGTTTGCGCATTCTCCCCGTGTCTGCATGGGTTTCCTCTGGGTGCTCCAGTTTCCTCCCACAGTCCAAAGATGTGCAGGGTAGGTGGATTGGCCATGCTAAATTGGCTGTAGTGTCCAGGGATGTTTGGGTTAGACGTGGGAAATGCAGAGGAATGGGTCTGGGTGGGATGCTCTTCGGAGGGGCTGTGTGGACTTGTTGGGATGAATAGCCTGTTTCCACATTGTAGGGATTCTATGATCTATGATGTAACTAGTAGAGTTGACAAGGAGGAGCCAGTCGATGTAGTGTATTTGGACTTTCAGAAGGCGTTTGACAAAGTTCCACATAAGAGATTATTGTGCAAGTTTAAAGCGCATGGGATTGGGGGAAGTGTACTGAGATGGATACAAAACTGGTTGGCAGAGAGGAAGCAAAGAATAGGAATTAATGGGTCCTTTTTCAAGTTGGCAGGCAGTAACTAGTGGGGTGCCACAGGGATCACTACTGGAACCCCAGCTACTCACAATGTATGTTAAGGAAACAAAATGTAACATCTCCAAGTTTGCAGATGATACCAAGTTGGGTGGGAGGGTCAACTGTGACTAGGATGCAGAGATCCTTCAGCATGATCTGGACAGGTTGGGTGAGTGGGCACATCAATGGCAGATGCAGTATAATTTGGATAAATGTGAGGTTATTCTCTTGAGAAGGAAAAACAAGGCAGCAGATTACTACCTGAATGGTTGTAAGTTGGGAGAGGGGAGTGTGCAGCGGGACCTGGGTGTCCTTGTGCACCAGTCGCTGAGGGTAAGCATGCGGGTGCCAGCAGGCGGTAAAGAAGGCTAATGGTATGTTGGTCTTCAATACGAGAGGTTTTGAGTACAGGAGCCAGAATGTGGTGTTGCAGTTATACAAGTCCTTCGTGAGGCCACACCTAGAATATTCTGTGCAGTTTTGGTCTCCTTTACTGAGGAAGGATACTCTTGCTCTCGAGGGAGTGCAGCGAAGGTTTACCAGGCTGATTCTGGGGATGGCGGGGTCTGATGTATGAGGAGAGATTGACTGGGTTGGGATTGTTTTCACTGGAGTTCAGACGAATGAGGGGGATCTTGTAGAGACTTATAAAATTCTAACAGGACTTAACAGGACTAAACAGGATAGATGCAGGGAGGATGTTCCCAATGGTGGGTGTGTCCAGAACCAGGGGTCATAGTCTGAGGATTTGGGGTAGACCATTTAGGACAGATATGAGGAGACATTTCTTCACCCAAAGAGGGGTGAGCTTGTGGAATTCATTACCACAGGATATGGTTAATGCCAAAACAATGAATGCATTCAAAAGGTGGCTAGATATAGCACTTGGGGTGAACGGATCAAAGGTTATGGGGAGAAAACAGGATAAGGCGATTGAGTTGGACGATCAGCCGTGCTCGTGATGAATGGAGGAGCAGGCTCAAAGGGCCGAATGACCTCTCTCTGTTATCTTCTAGGTTTCTGTGTTTGAGGTGAGATGGTTGGAAAAAAGTTAAGTCAAGCTCCGACAACATCTGGGCCCTTCAACAACTTTATGCTGCTTAAACTCAGATTTAAGATCTGATTTCCATGAAATAATTTGTTTTGTTTCACTAGGAAATGTACACATGGAGGAGTTGTGGTGGTTGTCAATTTCCTCTGGGATTCTCCTGCCATTCAGTGTTTCCACTGAACCTTTACCCCAGTTCTGGTGGGGACCATGGGGAGAAACCCTGCAGGAAATTCACTTCTTAACTTTCTTTTCCATGTGTTTATTGTTACTGATTTGCAACATTTCTGAACACAACTGCTGTTAATTCACATTTTATTGTCTTTAAGCCTTTTGGGTATTGGCACACCATTGCTATTGCCAGTAATTTTGATGGCTTGAACAGTATGATAACTTCCATGGACAATAGGAGCACCGCCTATCTCTATATCGATCGGTAAGTGTAAAAATCTAGCACTAAGTTTTCTTCATAAAAATTAACTAAGGGAAGAGCTTTTTTGATAATGTGTCTAAGTGGCCATGGTAAGAATTAACACTCTCTCTATTCTGGCTGTGACCTGTGGTATGTATCTATGCAGCCTGTCTGCAGGTGGAATAGTGAACACTGGAAATGCAAAAAAGTCTAGGCTGAGAGCAGATTAATGTCATCATTGTAGTCTTTAATAACGTCAGAAAAATCAGTGTGATATTATTTGCTTTCCTCCCCTTTTGCTGGTGATTTTGATGCCTCTGTGATGCTAATTTGCCAAATACAGGCTGTTGTACTACAAGAAAATTAAATAACAGTTGAATCCATACTCTTTCGAACAAAGATGATGTGCATATGATTAACTCAACATATATTTCCATCAGTAATTTAGAAGTTAATGAAAATCCTCAGGTTCCCAACTCTACTGAAGCAAAGGAAAAATCATGAGGTTATTTTTAGTTATTTTGTCTTTTACGTTAACAAATAAATACTTTTATCTTGTCATTAACTTTGCATTTTTTGTATTGGTCAACACAGCAATGATGGAATATGTACAAAAGTGGAGATAAAGTACTCCAATTACTCTGTCAATGCTTCTAAAGGTTGGTATAGCTTGTTAATATTTAAATGTGTCTGTTTGGGTTTTTTAAAATCTCTCAACCATCTTATTATCTGTAAGAGATAGTAGGAACTGCAGATGCTGGAGAATCTGAGATAACAAGGTGTAGAGCTGCATGAACACAGCAGGCCGAGCAGGAAAGCTGACGTTTCGGGCCTAGACCAATTTTCTGAAGAAGGGTCTAGGCCCGAAACGTCAGCTTTCCTGCTCCTCTGATGCTGCTTGGCCTGCTGTGTTCATCCAGCTCTACACCTTGTTATCTCACATACCCATTATTATCTGTAATCTCCTCCTTGAGATCTGTGTGCTCCTCAAATTCTGGCCTCTTGAATGTTCTTGATTTTAATTGCTGCACCATCAGCTGCTTGGGTTCTAAGATCTGGAATTACATTCTTGAACATATTTCCTCCTTTAAGTCACTCCTTAAAACATTACTCTTTGACAAAGCTTTGAGACACTGCACTTAACACATCCTTATAATGAGTTAGATTCTCCAAGTTTGATTACGCTGCTGTGAACTGCATTAGAATATTTTGCTCCTTACAAATATAAGATGTTGCAGTCACATACCTCTGCAATTGAGAAATACCTATTCCCAACACTTGTTAATGCCATTACTCATTTGATCTACTGGTATCTGAAATCATTGGCAAACATCCCCACTTCTGACCTTACAATGGAGGGAAGGTCACTGATGAAGCCACTGAAGATGGTTGGGCTGAGAACACTAACCTGAGGAACTCCTGCAGAGATGTCCTGGAGCTGAGATGACTGATCTCCAACAACCACAACCATCTTCCTATGTGTCAGGTATGACTCCAAACAGCAGAGAGTTTGCACCCTGATGCCCATTGATTCCAGTTTTGCTCTGGCTCCTTGATGCCACGCTCGGTCAAATGCAGCCTTGATGTCAAGGGCTGTCACTCTCACCTCACCTCTGGAATTCAGCTCTTTTGTCCATGTTTGAACCAAGGCTGTAATGGGGTCGGGAGCTGAGTCAACCAAGGTAGGTCTTATACAGTAAATGGTAAGGTCCTGAGGAGTGCTGTGGAACTGAGGGACCTAGGAGTACAGGTACCTGGTTTGTTGAAAGTGGTGTCACAGGTGGACAGGGCGATGAAGGTCAGCATGCTAAATGCCTTCTTCATTGATCAAGGCATTGAGCATAGGAGTTGGGACATTATGTTACAGTTGTATAAGTCGTTGGCGAGGCTGCACTCAGTTTTGGTCACCCTGTTATAGGAAAGACATGGTTAAATTGGAAAGTCTGCAAAGAAGATTTATGAGGTTGTTGCCAGGATTAGTAGGCCTGAGTTATAGGGAGATGTTGGCCAGGATAGGATTTTATTCCTTAGAATGTAAGAGATTGAGGGGTGACCTTATTGAGGTGTATGAAATCATGAGGGGCATAGATAGGATGAATGCACATAGTCTTTTTCCCACGGATGGGGAATTGAAAACTAGACGGCATAGGTTTAAAGTGAGAGGGGATAGATTTAAGAAGGACTTGAGGGGCAACTTCTTCACACAGTAAGTGGCACGTATATGGAAAGGGCTGCCGGAGAAAGTGGTTGAGGCAGATGACAACGTTTAAAAAAAACATTTGGATAGGTACATGGATGAGAAGGGTTTACAGGAATATAGATCAAATGCAGGCAATTGGAACTAGCTGAATGGGCATCGTGGGCCAGTTTGGGCTGGAGGGCCTGTTTCCGTGCTGTATTACACTGACTCTATCAGTAGATTCCTAATTCCAGATTTTTTCCTGCCGTGGTGGGATTCGAACTTGGATCCCCAGAACATTAGCCGAGTTTCTGGATTAATAGTCTAGCGATAATACTACTAGGCCATTGCCTACCCTGATGATTGCACAATGTTCAGCACCATTTGCAACTCCTCAGATACTGAAACAGTCCATGTTCAAATGCAACAAGATCTGGACAATATCCAGGCTTGGGCTGACCGCTGACAAGTAACATTCATGCCACACAAATGCCAGGCTATGACCATTGTGAATAAGAGACAATTTAACCATCCCCCCATGGCATTCAACAGTGTTACCATCACTGCATCCCCCACGATCAACATCCTGGGTGTTATCATTGACCAGAAATTCAACTGGACTCACCACATAAATACAGTGGCTACAAGAGTAGGTCAGAAGCTGGGAATACTGCAGTGAGTAAATCAACTCCTGACTCCTCAAAGCCTGTTCACCATCTACAAGGCAAAAGTCAGGAGTGTGATGGAAAACTCTCCACTTGCCTGGATGAGTGCAGACCCAACAACACTCGAGAAACTTGACACCATCCAGGACAAAGCACCCCACTTGATTGGCAACACATCCAGAAGCATCTACTCCCTTCACCACCGATGCTCAGTACAGCAGCGTGTACCATTTACAATATGCACTTCAGGAATTCACCAAAGATCCTCAGACAGCACCTTCCAAACCCACGACCCCTTCTATCTGGAAGGACAAGGGCAGCTGATATATGAGAACAGCACCCCCTGCAAGTTCCCCTCCAAGCCACTCACCATCCTGACTTGGAAATATATTGCCATTTGTTCACTGTCGCTGGGTTAAAATCCTGAAATTCCCTCCCTAATGGCATTGTTGGTCAACCCACAGCAGGTGGACTGCAGCAGTTCAAGAAGGCAGCTCACCATCACCTTCTCGAGGGGCAATTAGGGACAGGCAATAAATGCTGGCCAGCCAGTGACGCCCACGTCCCACAAATGAATTTTTAAAAAAATCTACAACTAATTTTTATTTTGTACTCCTCCCACCAATATCATCGAAGCTACATGCCTCTTTTATTGTTAGAATTTGTTCTAAGTACCCTGTAGGTCTAGTCACAATTCAGAACTTTGTCATACCATTTAGGACAGTACTTCAAAGTAGTACTAAGAGGGTATTGCTGTACTTTGGACAATATGTTAAATTGAGATTTTACCTTCCTGTTCCAATGAACTTTATTGAGCACATAACACTCCTCAGGAAGACCAGGATGTTTTCTTGAAGCTCTAATCAAAATTTCTCCCTCAACCAAAACAATATATCAACCTTGGTGTAGTAGGACTCTGATCTCTATCATCTTGTACATTTATTTATTTCATGTCAGCTGTGGCCCAGTGGCCTGCACACTCCCTTCTGAGATAGAAAATTGTGGGTTCACAATTTAGGCTAACACTCCATTGTAGTACTGAAAGATCACTGCACTGTCAGATAGCCAATGTTGAGGGAGCACCACAGTATTAGAGGTCCCCTTCTTTGGACAGGACATTAAACCAAAGCATCATCTGCTATCCCAGATGGATGTAAGAGATCAGGGTGTGCTCCCAAATCTATCCCTGGGGTAAGTTTATCCCTCGGGCAACATCATCAAAATAGATTAGCTGACCATTATCACACTGCTGATTATGGGAACTTGGCTGTGCACAAAATGGCTGTTCCATTACAATAGAAAACTATTTAATTTGCAGTTAGGCACTTTGGAATATAGAGGTTGTGAAAGGTGCTACAGAAATTCAATCTAAGTGCACGTCCTTTTCTCTTTGTTTCTATAGGTAACTCGGGGTACAAAATCTTAGCTTCCAATACTGAATACTTTATACTTGATCATTACAACCGTGGAAAATCTACAACTGAAACCACCTTCTTATTTGGTAAGATATTTGTTGAACAGGAATAAAAAGAAACTCTCATCTTTTACCAGCTGAAGATTATATGTATAAAATGTATCACGTAAACTCACGTATCGGTGATAACTGAGCTTTCTTTATCCATACTTTTGAAAGGTTGATTCACTTCCAAGGAGGTGGTAACATGTTTACTCCCAAGGTTGTTTGTCACTCATTTATCAATCACAATTGCAATAAATCTAGGTTGGTAGCTCATTGAATAAAATGCTCATTAGAAGGGAGTGGTTCTTGTGAAATAATGATGTGGAGATGCAGTGTTGGACTGGGGTAGACAAAGTCAGAAGTCACATGACATCAGGTTATAGTCCAACAGGTTTATTTGAAATCTCAAGCTTTGACAGCACTGCTCCATTGTCAGGTGAAGACTTCTGATACAGAAGCAGTGCTCTGAAAGTTTATGATTTTAAATAAACCTGTTGGACTATAACCTGGTGTCGTGTGACTCGTGACCTTGCAAAATAAGTTCAGGGCAAGTCAAGGCCCCTGTGCAATCAGCCTCTACCACTACAGCCTCAGTATCTCTTACATATTTGGAAAGACACAAATAATATTGCACTTTACTGAGTGTTCCCTCTACATTCTAAGCGGTGGACTGATCATCTTAAAACTCAGCGAATGAGAAGATTGTTTGGTCCTGGGGATTTGCATTTACTACATTAACAAACTATTCATGTTGGTGACTAACACTGGCCATCTTCCACCCACACTTACCCAAACTTTGCTGCTTTATTCTAAGTTGCATCAAGTCCCATTGACCCATTACTTCTGTGTTCAGTGATCTATGTTGGCTTTAATGTAGTTCATCAACACTTTGGATTTGAAAGACCCATCCTTGTACTCAGTTAACTTGTCTATCCCTACTACTGTAACCTCCTCTGACCATTTGAGAAGTCTGCATTCTTCCAGCTCTTGCCTCTTTTGCATCTCCACCCCTTACACCCAAGCATTGATAGCCATGCCTTCAGCCATCTTGTCCCTGAGCTCTGATTTACTTTCCAAAGCCCTTCTGTTCATACTTTTTAACGATGTCCTTAAAACCTACCTCTTCAACCAAGTGCTTAGTCTGCCAAATATCCTGAGGTCTCCTTAGGATTGCTATCATTTTCTGTTCAAATATGCTGCTGTGACAGATCATGGGACATCTTAAAAGTACTATATAGATGAAAATTGCTGTTTTGTGCCAATACAATTATTTATTACTTAGCTAACATTACTTATGCTAATTTGCTGAAAATACGAAGTTACTAATGTGAAATTATGCAACTGTTCTGAAATAGTTTATAGAGAAATATGCAGCACAACTATGATTATTCACATATTACAGAATGGCTGATTATCAGAATTGGTGGAAAATGGAGATTCTCCCACGTCTTGTCTTGTGTTCAACTCAACAGTAGCCTCAGCACAGAAATGAAGACGTTATCACAAGAGATTATGCCTCTGTTCATAAAATAAAGGAGACCAGAATACAAACGAGGTTGCACAGAAGACTTTGTCTTATACAACCTGTGGTGGGAATCATGAATATTGCTGATGGCAGAACGTATTTTTTAAATTTGATATTTCTTTTGTTAGTTAATAGTTATTTACCATTGCAGGGAGGAATTTAACAGTGAACTCTGCCATTATGGAATACTTCAACAGACTGGTGGATTGTGCAGCAATACCAGATCTCTCAATCTACACACTACCTCAAGAAAATGGTAAGACTTCTATAGCAAATTATGAATGGTTATAGGGACATATTTCCTGGATGTCATTAGGTTAACTGTTTATTAACACAAATATTGTTCATAAGTTAATGTTTTTCATCACATTTTATCGGATGAGATTTCAAGTCCAAAACATTTCCTCATTTGAGAACATGCTGAGGTGAAATGTGATGATGATCTCCATGTAACAAAAGGTACAGATGAGGTTTCCTTAAACAAGTGAGGTTAACTTGGCCAATGAGGGTAGGACTAGACATGCATAAGAAATTCACAGGTCTCTCACAAGAAGCAGATAAAATTTCCCATTCCTCTCTGTGAGGTGGTGGACACACAACACAAGCTCCCAAAGAAAGAACCCGATTTCAGGTGAACAGCATCTTTCAAAAATGAGTGGGCTAGGAATCTATTAAAAAGGAGATTTAGGGTTAGGGATACTAGTGTTAATTGACAAATTTTTTGCAGTAGCGTGGACTTTGTGGTGGTGAGGTGTGAGAGAGAGAGAGGCCTACAATAGATAGGAATGGTCTTGATGGACAGAATTCTTGCTTTAAATTCAAAATCTTAAAGAATGGGGCAAGCCACAATGGTGGTGCTGGCATTTGAAAGAACTTTCCAATTTGTTCTAATCTCTCTACTCTCTTTGTGGAACCCTGAAAAAATTCCTTTACAATTATACATCCCTTTTGAAAGTTATCATTGGATCTGCTTTTCAGGCTATCCATTCCTGATTGCTTACTACATTTAAAAATATGAAATTTCTTCTCTGGTTCTTTTGTCAATTATTCTACGTGTGTGTACACCAGTGAAAACAATCCTCAAAATTTAATTTAACAAAACCCTTCATAATTTTGAACAGCATAAATGATGCATGTGGAAAATAATTGATCAAGGCCCGTTATTCTGATATTGATTTGGCACTAGATAGAAAATACTGCAGTTAAAATGTCCATTCTGCAATCCAATTAATAAGTGATTGGACATGTACAGGTAAACACTTTCTACATATTGGAAACTCTGGGTCTTAAGCATAATCTAAAAATTCCAGCCACATATTTCACAATAAAAGTTGGGGGCATTTCTACATGCTAAAGGTGGAAATAGTTTGGACCTTACTTTCATAAATGGCAGTTGATGATATTGTTAAGGTTAAATCTGAGGTTGGTAGATTTTTGTTAACTAAAGAACATAAGAACATGGAGCAGGAGTAGGCCGTCTGGCCCTTCGAGCCTGCTCCGCCATTCCATAAGATCATGGCTGATCCTTTCATGGACTCAGATCCACTTACCCGCCTTCTCACCGTATCCCTTAATTCCTTTATTGTTCAAAAAAATATCTTACCTTATCTTTAAAAACGTTTACTGAAGTAGCGTCAACTACTTCACTGGGCAAGGAATTCCATAGATTAACAACCCTCTGGGTGAAGAAATTCCTTCTCAGTTCAGTCCTAAATCTGCTCCCTCTAATCTTGAGGCTACGCCCTCTTGTCCTAGCTTCACCTGCCAGTGGAAACATCCTCTCTACTTCTACCTTATCTATTCCCTTCATAATTTTGTCTGTTTCTATAAGATCCCCCTTCAATCTTCTGAATTCCAATGAATATAATCCCAATCTACTCAGTCTCTCCTCATAAGCCAACCCCCTCAACTCCGGAATCAACCTAGTGAACCTCCTTTGCACCCCCTCCAGTGTCAGTACATCCTTTCTCAAGTAAGGAGACCAAAACTGCACACAGTACTCCAGGTGTGACCTCACCAGCACCTTGTACAGCTGCAACATAACCTCTCTGCTTTTTATTTCAATCCCTTTAGCAATGAAGGACAAAATTCCATTTGCCTTCCTAATTACTTGTTGTACCTGCAGACCTACCTTCTGTGATTCATGCACAAGGACACCCAGGTCCCTCTGCATAGCAGCATGCTGCAACTTTTTACCATTCAAGTAATAATCCTTTTTACTATTACTCCTACCAAAATGTATGACTTCACATTTATTTACATTGTATTCCATCGGCCAGACCTTTGCCCACTCACTCAATGTATCTATGTTCCTCTGCAAAGTTTCACAGTCCTCTGCACACTTTGCTCTGCCACTCATCTTAGTGTCATCTGCAAACTTTGATACCCTACACGTGGTCCCCAGCTCCAAATCATTTATATAAATTGTAAATAATTGCGGTCCCAACACCGATCCCTGAGGCACACCACTAGTCACTGACTGCCAGCTAGAATAGCACTCATTTATCCCCACTCTTTGCTTCCTGTTAGTCAACCAATCCTCTATCCATGCTAATACCTTACCCTTAATGCCATGCATCCTTATCTTATGCAGTAGCCTCTTGTGCGGCACCTTGTCAAAGGCCTTTTGGAAGTCTAGGTACACCATATCCACTGGGTCCCCATCGTCCACTTTGCTCGTAATGTCTTCATAGAATTCCAAAAGATTTGTCAAGCATGACCTGCCCTTCATGAACCCATGCTGCGTCTGCCCAACGGGACAATTTCTATCAAGATGCCTTGCTATTTCTTCCTTGATAATAGACTCAAGC